TCAGGGGTAAGAGCCTACCAGCCAGAGAACAGCCAGTGCAAAGGCCTTAAGAGGGAGCCTGTCTAGTTTTCAAGAAACTGCCAAGAGGCCAGTGTGGCTGGAGTGGAGAGAGCCAAGGCAGGTGTGTGTGTTGTGCAGGGTGGTATAAGGCCGAGGGGTAACAAGTGGCAAGATAACAGAATGCATGGGAGACAGCTGAGACTGCGGGGTTTACTCTGAGAAAAAAATCAGTGTTGAGTGGCACTGGGGGTCTTCAGAGAGGATTAACATGATCGAATTTACATTTTTAAAGTATCACTCAAATTGCTATGTTGAGAATAGACTGGTATTGGGGGTGGGCAAAGGTAGAATCACAGAGCTGAGTCTGGTGAGGGATGGTGGTATTTTGGACCAGATAGATAGCAGAAGTTGTGATAAATGGTCATATTCTGGAATATTCTCGAGGCAGCCCCCACAGAATTTTCAGGCACATTGAATGTAGTCTTTGAAATAAAAGAAGTCAAGTGTGATGACTTTTAGTTTATGGCCTGGGTAACTGAATAGGTCAACTTGCCATTAACTGAGATGAGGAAAACCGGACTGAGCAGGTTCTGAGGGGAAGAGCATGAATTTGGCATTAGACACTTTAAGTCTGCAATATCTATTAGATACGCAAGACAGGAGAGGTTAAGGCATATGATTGCTGGTGAGAACAGTTCACCAAAGTGGGGGAAATGACAGTGCGAGACAGAGAGGGGTAAGCAGGAAGGAGTAGACTCTTGCGCACACACGAAGAGGTTTTCAGAATGGAGGACAGACAGCTGTTCATCGTGTTGCAATCTGGAAGACAAGGTAGTTGGCCACAGACAAGTAGGAGTGTAGACAACTTGGCAGGAGTCAATGCAAAGTTTCTTCTGGCTACTTCTATTTTCATAGTGAAATAACAAAGAGTTTTGTTTGAATGAATAAATCCCTTTTCACTTGCTTAAAACCTTCCATAGGCTTCCCCTCACCATTCAATAAAATCCACACACTTTCTCATGGCCCACAAGGCCTCACAGGACCTGACCCCACCTACCTCTCTCCAATGCCCAAAATGCTCCAGCCACTGGGGCCTTCCTTCTGTGCCTTAGATACGTGACAAACTCATACAAGCCTTGGGCTCTTTGACTTATTGTCCCTCTGTCTGGTAAGTATTCTCTCCTACTCTTCCAAGTTTGGCTGATTCTTATCATGCAGGTCTCTCCTCAAAGGTCCCCTCCACAGGACTTTCTTGAACATCCCATCTAAAGTGGGCCCTCCTCTCCTCATAAGTTATTTTACTTACTTGTTTATTCTGTATTACCTGCTTCTTCCCACAAGAATGTATTTCATAAGAAACCAGCACCCCAATGCCCACCTCATCACTGTCTCTCTCTGGCTTTACTTTTTTCTTCTCAGGTCTCATCGCCACCTGATATAGATATGTGCTGAGAAAATTCCCTGGGGCTGAGAGATCAAAAAAAAGAGGCTGGCAAATTCAGAATTACATCGAGAGTTTATTCAACATATGGGCGCTCTCCAATCCAACACACCGGCCCTCTCAAACCCACACAGATCCTTGTAAACCCACACACGGGCTCTCTCTCTCTCTCTCTTTCAAAAAAACAAAACAAAAGAAAAAAAAACAGTTTATTAAGGAGATTTATGAACAGAAGCAGTGACGGTAGATCTCCACATCCAAAAGGGGATATATAACTTTGGGCGCGGGGATCTTTCTCCTTACCCTTTTAGTTCTTCTGGCTAGTCAAATAATTCAAATGACATACAGCAGATTAACAGGAGAAAATCCAGTTTTACTGTGCACACAGGGAATTCACATAAGCCTGAAAATTCCAAAGATAGTGAGGCAAAATGAGGTACGTATGTCATTTTAGACTAAGAAGGGGAAGGTAGGCACTTCACTGGTAGATGAGAAAGCAAATATTTGGTGAACAAATTCTTGCAGGGACACCCAGAAACAATGGGACACGAAGGGGAATCTAGCAAACAGATTTTTGCTCGGATCTTCTCTGTCTGCCACAGTAAATTCATATGCTAAGTTTCCCTTCCTGAAGCAGGTTTTTCTATCTGAATTTCTTTAGGCAGGGGAGGGAGAAGTTAAAAAAATAACAAAAAAACACCTTTCTTTGAGTTCATTGGGCTTTGATTGTTTTCAGCTTGAAAGAATCTGCATGCCATACCAGAGTGGCACATTCTGAGACACTTGTTCCCGATCTCCATAATGCCAAGTGGCACATGCTAATACAGCTGGCTTGTAGCCACATGATACATGCTTGTTGAGAGCAGTGAACAACTTAATGGGCCCACTTACCTATGCAAGAACATTCCTTTCAGGTGATAGGGTCCATTATCCTGGGGTAAATAGGAGGTCAGTTTGCCTCCTAAGATGGTGTGGGTTACATTAAGTACCCGGAATCATTCTGCCTAACTCTATCTATCTATCTATCTATCTATCTATCTATCTATCTATCTATCTATCTATCATCTATTTATCTATCTATGCATATACATCATTATGCATTATTCATGTCCCTAAAGTGAATAATAGCTCTATGAGAGCAGGTGCTTTCTCTATTCTATTCACTGTATGCCTTCTGAGCCTACAACCACATCTGGCACATAGGTGCTCAATGAACATTTCCTGATAAACATGTTTGGAAAATTAAATTTAAAAAAATGCATGTAGGGCATATGACAGAGCACCTGGCACATAGTAAATCTTCAATAAATGTTAGCTGCTATGATGACAACAGTAAGGACAACCATGGTAAAAAAAATCATGAGCACAATCATGAAAGGCCAATCCTCCTCTGCACTCTGAACCAAACCCTCTTTGTCTCATCAGGAACTTTCATTAATTATATGTCCCTTCTTCCTCTCTACAGGCTCCTTTCCTTCAGCTAAATATGTGTAGTATTTTTCCACTATTTTTAAAAAACCAGTTAAAACACACTTTTCTTAACTCTGTATTATCTTAAGTACAACCAAAAATCTTCACAGTTTAGCCACACACACAAAAAAAAACATTAGTTCATACTAGCTCACAGCTGGTTAACCAAACAAATTTGGAATAAGCAAACTCATTTTTATTTACTGTTATTTTTCTATTGACCAGTTGCTTTAAGTTGAACAAAACTACTTGATATATGCATGGTTAAAATATTAATTATTATAAAATAGTATAAAATGAAAGTTATATCTATTATCTAACTCAGTCCTCTCTGTCCAATGAAACTAGGTATATCCTGTTTGTCTTTCCAGAAGTTATGCATGTATATCCAGGCATATTAATATTCTTTGAAAATATCAAGTAGGACCATACTGTGCACACAGTTCTGTACCTCAGATTTCTTTCAGCTATTGAAACATCTTGGATGGTTTTCTAAAGTACTTATAAAGAGCTATAACATTCTTTTCACTGGTTCCATGGTGCTTTTGTTATATTGATAAAATGCCATCTATTTAACTAGTCCCATATTTATTGGCATTTAATGTGTTTCCAGTCATTTGTTATTGTAAACAATGCTGCAACTAATAGCCTTATATATAGGTCCTGCACAATATATGTCCTTCAAATATTTCTATAAATTCTTAAAAGCAGAATTGCTGGCATAAAGGGCCTATATGCCTTCAGTTTTTTATTGATATTGTCAAATTACCTTCCAAAACAGTTTTATTAAATCAGTATTTTCTACTCTAAATAATGAACAATTATTAGCAACTACAAGTAACATTTTTGGTGTGGAAAGAGGATAATTCTTGTTGCTCTTTAAAATCAACTAAGAAAGGACAGAAGTCACATTAACATTAAAGGAAATGTTAATACTTTACTGTGACACATATGGAAAACCAAGCACGATGACAGGAAGAAAACCCTGAGATGTTCTAAATTAAATTACAGCAGACTGAGAATGAAAGGAAGAGACAGAACTGTTAGTCTGGCTGTAGGCCAACTAGTAAAAAACAGTTCACATTCCTTCTATGTCTGTTGGAATTTGAGATTAATTTCCAGTTGGCTCTGTCCTCAGATTATCGTAGCCAAGCACCATCTAAACAGCTACTCCACAAGAGCAGACATTTCTTTATGTGGACTCTGTTCCTAACCCGGAGCTGGCCTCTTTTCACTTTCTCGCATCTTTGCCTATAGCTGATATAAATGCATTCAGACAGCTTACATCTTTCTTTCCCCTACCCACTACTTAATGTTTTGAAAATGCTTGCAAACTTCCAGACTACAGACAAGTATCTTTTCCAGCTAGCCATGCTGCTAGTGGTTTGGACTTTTTTTTTTTTTGCTAGCAGGGGCCTAATAAAGCCTTTCGACGGTGGAAGTTAAAATTTTTTATTTAACAACTATTTCTGGTAAAGAATTATTTACAATCACTCTCGTAATTTCACTAATAAAAGTTTCACTTCATTAAAACGAGTTT